CAGTAAAAGCAAAAACGCAACAGATACCGTGTCAAAATAATCACCAAATGATTGTACACTTGTACAGTTACCACTCTGGTGTTGAGTAACACGAATCGATTAAATTAGCTCTAGATACTCTAGTGTACTTCTTGACTGTATGTATAAGAACGAATGACACCCTATGATGGTGTTAAAAATATCAGAGTTAATTCCCACTGAAATGATCAGGACCTCAGGGGACACCCAAGGGTGGTAGCTGGTGTGAACTGGTGTAATTTTTTTTTCACTGTGTATATTGGTGATTGACAAATCTTGCTCGTTACATGTGATTATTCGATAACAACATGGTGGGTTATATAATTTTCATCATCAGATGTCTCAGCTCCCTTTCAAGGATTGTACCACCCCATTTGTAGCTATCAGCCTTCTCACAACTAACTTCATATTGTCGAGAAGGTGATGTGTACTATTCTCCATCTAAGGAATTCTCACTTTATACCTATGTTCTTTATTTATAGTGATGAGTTCATCACAATTCCAACAGTTTCTGCCTCTCTGATATTCCTTCTCGTAACTCCCATTGAATCTTTTATACCGAGTACATCTAAACTTCATGACTCTTAGATACAATTGTTATTGAAATAACAGAGAGTGTCGAGTGTAGTACACTCCTGACCTGATGAACGTACCCTAATGGCAACTATGGTTTTGAAATTGTTCAATTCTTCCAGTTGATGACTTTCCATGTATGTCTGCATCAAGAAGTCAACCGATTTCTTCAGATTCAACTTCTCTATCAGCTCTTAGTTCGATCATTATGTCCAGATTCTCAAGTCGCAAAAAATATAACTAACTATATCACATCGAGATATATCATTCAAACTTTGTATTTGTAGGTCATATAGAGCATGTACTCTTCCAGACAATAATTGTCAAAAAACACATTCATAATTCTGAATTGATAATTATTGTTACTCGTGTTGGTAGAGGTGAAGGTATGGAAGAAATCATGAATAACATCCGAGAAGATTTTGATAGTGTTGAAGAGAAATATTCTCAGATAAATTATGAACATACAAAAATAGATATACAGGGTGTTTCGAAATTCGATCGACAACGTTTGACAGGTGATAGCCCTCGTGATTTCATAATCATTGAGATAATAACATTCGGTCTTCAAGTGTTCAGTTCTCGAGATACAGGGCGTTGAAGTTGAGAAATGAAAATAGTTGTTTCGCAATATCTCAAGAATAATTGAATATAATGCATTCAACTTCGGTATATGGTTTCATCTTTGAATGGGCAATTTTTTGACCTGGAAGCCATTCCGGACATTTTGTCCAGTGGTGCCCTACAGGGGGTTGTGGCATTTTTTCCTTCCATATTTTCTACGCCACTGATTGAATTTCGATTATTTCCAATTCCTCGAATTCATTGTTCAATTTTGTTCAGAAAATGCATCACCTTCAACTGAGCTGAAATAAACAGTTTTCGAGATATTCGACCGAAAATAGAAGATTGCATAGTAATATTTCATCATTTTCAGTAGTAGAAAATTGCAAAAATATATTTCTGGTGTTGAGTAGATTAGATACTATTCAGATCTCATCCTGTAGCTGAACATAAAAAGTTATTCCATGCATAAAGAGAAAACAAACATTTTTGTAATTTTCTACTACTGAGGAAGATGAAAAATTACTATGCAAACTTCTATTTTGGGTGAAATATCTCGATAACTGTTCATTTTAGCTTAGTTGAAGGTGATGCACTTTTTCAACATAATTGAACAATCAATTCGAGAAATTAGAAATAATTGAAATTTCATCAGTGGCGTAGAAAATATGTGCGGAAAAGTTATCACAACCCTCTGTAGCGCACCTCTGGATAAAATTCTCGGAATGTCTTTCTGGTCAAAAAATTAACCATTGGAAGATCAAACCATATACCGAATTTGAATGCATTTAATTCAATTTTTCATGAGATATCGAGAAAAAACTATTTTAATTTCTCAACTTCAACGCCCTATATCTCGAGAACTGAACACTTCAAGACCGTCTGTCCCTATCTCAGTGATTATGAAATCACGGGGGCTATCACCTGTCAAGCGTTGTCGGTCGAATTTCGAAACACCCTGTATATTTATATAAAGCAATACATTGAGAATTCGCATTTTTCATGTGATGAGAATATCAACTCTTCTGCAGTTTATTCAATAGAAATCAACTACTTTCCTGGCCTTGAACGATGAAAACTTGTGATTTTTATAGACCTCTAATCGCAGATTCGTGATAGAGTCTCAATTCAGAATTTCTTTCCACGCCCTGTATGATTAATGTCAATTTATCATACACCCAAAAGCAAGATTTTTATACTCGGCAGAGTTGGAATAATTTTATTTGATAACGTATTCGTAAGTTTGCCAACACAACCTTGGAGACGAAAATGCAATGATATTAAAGAATGTGTAAGAATTGATTCAAGAATATGGAATTACAAATCCTCTTCTTCTGATGAAAATACTCAGCTCATTTTTTCAATGGTGAACTATTTTTTATATTGCCTCAGAACAGTTTTTTCTTTGTAGAAAATCTGTTGAATTGCTTCGATACAGAGTACCTATATCATGGAACCAAATGAATATACCGAATAAATTAGTTTCTACACCAAGAAGAAGGTGTTATCTCAGTTCGGAAATTCAGAATTGAAAAAATGCATCATCCTCAATGGATAAAGTGTTTCGATGTGTGATGGGTTGAATGAGCTTATAAAATACTAATAGAAAGAAATAATATTCATCTGGTCTGATTGATTTTTGTTTCTGTATTATTTGATGTATTTCAAGGTAAGGGATGCTATATCGAATTGTAAAATGAGAGTGGCTGGGGGTGAAGAGGATGAACAAAGCATCCAACTTTTACCCCTTGTCCCACCTCAATAACTAGAAATGAGAGTCTCCTAGTTGACTTATGAATTCATATTGTGATGAACCGTAGGGTCTGAAACTTGTCCCTTCAGTATATTCATACTGTTCATTAAATGAATGTTGTAGGAAAGACATTGTTGAATATCCACTTTCCCCTAGTTATTCCACTTTCAGATGGATATGGTATTTTTTCTGAGATTATTACTACATTTTCTACCTTTACGTCAGGTGGAAAAAACTGAGCGAAAAACTTTCTTTCGGGACTCTCCTCAGTGTATAGAAGGATAATATATAGCATTCATTCATTCTTATGTATTATTCGCTACACAGATTGAAGTCGTTATTCGAATTGAGAATATTGGTTCATTCAAATGATCGAAATGAAACTTATTTGGGTTCAACATCGTTTCTGCCAACCAAATTAATCGATTCGTGTATGTTGTATGACAGGATCATTTGAGAGAAAAATTGAAATCAATTGAATTCAAGAATATATTTGATTGAGAAATATATAATATCAAGTCAAATAATGAGGATATATTTTCCTCAAGAAAAAATCTTTCGATTTTTTATAGTGAGATATAATTGCACAAATAATGATGTTGCACATATATATATATATGTATATATACATTCTTTCTGATGAAAAACTTCCATGGTAGAAGGTACATTGAAGAAAACGGTCTCTTGAATGGAGTCCTCATATTACTAGAATCAAATAAAAGATTTATTCGTATCAACTCAAATCTGGATGATTTTATGAATATAATAATCCTTTTTCCCAAATAAAAAGACAGTGAATTACATTATTATATACAGGCTGATTTTAAAATGAGTGCATATATTCAAGACATATATATGAGAGAGTCTAACAAAAATTACTAAAATATTTGATTTTTCCTAAGTCTTCACATTAACGAGAAATTTCATTTTGAAAATTGAACATAAAATGCTTCGAAATTCGAGTACGCCACTGGGGAGCAAGTGAAATCTGCGGAATCCTAGGGAATCCACAATTCGTCATTCACTAAAGTCAAAACAAGACAGTGATGCCAGATTGCTTCAGAGACGAATATCCTGATAAAAATTTGTCACAGAATGAACATGAATTGAAAAAGGTTATGAAAACTAATAGAGGTGAATGTAATATGTACAGGAGCCTTATTTTTTAAAGTTTACTGAGAGAACTGTGGGGTGATTATCTCCATGGATCACGAGAGACGGAGAGAAACATGAGGGGAATGATCGGGAATGATAGAACGTCCCCCTTCCTTCAATCCGAAAATAAGGCCACAGCGGGTAGATACAAAATTAGCAGACAATAAATAGGTACACAACATACACAAAGTTGAAAATTGATTCACCTAGTAGATTTTCTCATACCTGCTCGAACAGCAAAACTCCCGAGAGCAAACAAATACTAATATTGAGTCCATTCCAGACTAATATCGTCCTGTGTTCTTGTTGGTTCATATTCGCACTTAAACCATCGAAAACGACTCGACGACGACATATCCTTCCTGGCAATCTCACATTGAAACATACGATCACGACCATATCACGATTATCACGACACAAGACACAACATCCAATTATTTTATTTTTTATTTTACGTTTACAATTTTTTTTCAAACCAGCAACCAAAAAAACAAAACTATTATTATTATCATATGATCTGTCAACATCTTTTCTCAGAACAGTAGTATCTGTGACCATAGATTTCCTCTTTGCTGTGACCTTTGACAGTACTAACTAGGATTGTTATGTTCGCGTTCAGAAAATAAACAATCCGAAACCGTCAGAAGCATGCACAAGTCCACAGAACCCAAAAAAATCATACAGTTTTGTGAAACTGCGCATGCCTCTGACCGTTTCGGACGCAAGAATTCAGATGACCATGAATTACTAATAGGTGATTTCTAAGGATCAATCAGAAACAGCAAAGTCAAAGAATAGTAGGTTAGTCACCAAGAAGCTCCACTTCAAATGCGCGGGAAAACTGACAAATAATGACCTTGAATTTTTACTACGATCAGATGTCAGCTGTATGTTTACTGTTTGTCAACTAATTTCTTCTCAGAGATTTGGCAAATTTTTCAACAGTGACAAAAGTGGATTTAATCTGCACAAAAGCGATTATTATTTTTATAGACTTGTGTTTTTCTGCTAAGTTTCAGTGGAATCATCATTATTTTTCGTTTCTTGTTATCATTTTACATAACCTCAAAATATTATTGTGGTATAAGTGTAAGTATATTTGATTTTTTCTAGTGTCTAGGGTTGCTGAGGTAGAAATGATATATTTTTGTAGATAAACTTGGCAATGGGGATACCTGGAGGAGTAAAATGTGCAGTCAAAGACTGCAAGAGTAAGTACTTAGATAATAATCAACATACACCATTGACATTTTTTAGGTTCCCTAATCCTAGGACCCAAGAAGTGAGAATGAATTCATGGCAACTGGCGTGCAATGATGAATTGATCATGGCTACTGATCCTATGAAATTGTATGGAAGCATGAGAATTTGCAGTCTACATTTTGAGGATCATTTGATGGAAAAGCACAAACTGAAAGAAAATGCTGTTCCTACACTGAACTTGGTGGTAAAATGGTCCTGATTTTATTGTATTTTACATACTTACACTTGATCTTATAGGTATCTTTATCAGGCTCCATACATGAGGAGCATTCATATTTCAGTGATGAAAATATAGAAGTAGGTCATTTTATGGAAATAGATAGCTCTGAAGATGGGATGAACACAAGAGCAAGAAGCATTGGTACCCAAACAGAACCAGATATGGTGGGCACAGGAACACAGACACTTGTGCAGAAGTCTGATTCTCAAGTGCAGACAGAAAAGCAACTTTCAGCTATCACACCAAGAAAAATCAAATTAATCAAGAAAATAAATGTGGTATATTGAAAACTATTTCCTACATTTTACTGATTTATTTTGTTATTGATTTGATTAAAATCTTCATTCGAAATGATGTTTATTTTTATTTCATATGTGCAAACCTACCTTGAATACTGAAGGAAATAATTTCAAGGAATTTCTTATAAATGATTCATTCTATTTCCTTCAGTAAGACTGAGCAGAATGATTCATCAGCTTATGGAAAAATAAGATGAATTGAAGATGTTCATTTAGAAGATATCCTGAGATCTGTTCCTAACCTAAAATTACAAGGAGAAATTCCACATTGCACATAGGTAAATGATGATTTATCGTTCACAAAAACAAAATATCCTCATGTCCTGCTTAAGTTTCTGATTCATTGGCAAGTCAAAATAAATTATTATTAATTTCTATTATTCCATTGACACTACAATAACACACATGTAAATAAACTATTCTAGGGTAGATTCACAATGTCCACCTAATTTTGTAGAATCGTGTTGTGATTGGGTGAACATACATTTACGCGCCGGCTGTCAATCTATCCACCAATGAGGATTTGATACGTTGAACGCGGATCGCTTACTTGTAAGTTGTAAGCGCGCCTTCAATACGTATGTCAGTTTCAAAAAATCAATACTTCAACCTGCTTCCAACCAATGAGCGGAGCGTAACCCATCGTGCCAGTTCATTCATATGGGTTATTTCAAGGTCATCATATAAGTTTTACTATTTCATTCAAGTGAAAACTCTTTCCCCTCTCTGGCAAAGTAGCGCCAGCGTGGTTGTGATTCATCCTGATTGGACACAGCTGATTTTATTTGTGAGATTAGTGCATAGTGAGGAAGGATAATTTCATTGAATTGAACTAATATATATTTTTTTCCAAATTAGTTATTATGAAAATGATAGTTTCATTCAAAGAGATGATCCTTCCTTACAATAATACAGTAATCTCAATCAGCTGTGCCCAATCAGGATGAATCGCAACCACGCAGGCGCTACTTTGATGTGTCTGATTGGTCCGTAAAAATCGCCTATTAGTAACATGGTCATCTGAATTCTTGCTGGTAGCACACCATAAGAACAATCAAAACAAAGATCCTTTCTTGACAGTTTGTTGTTCTGAGAATGTATGTTATTTTGGAAAACGTCAAAACGTGATACTAGTAAATGTAAACAGTGTGGTCCTTGTCATTACTTTTGTAATAGATCTATTACTATTCCACGGAGATTGTTACAATATTACGATTTGTCATGGATCTATTACTATTGGGTGTTAGCACCAAAATATGATGTTTTGTTACTGTTAGCACCAAAATATGATGTTTTGTTACTAAAAAATCTATTTCTGTGTTCAGCGGATAATTATGTTCTGCTCTATGGGTCTATGTTCTATATTTATGTCATAAGTTCTGTGTGACCTGCCTCATTCCTGCCAAAACTGTCTAATTTGTGCGATATGGTTTTACAAGAATGACATTCAGAATGTCAAATGTCAGATTTTTAGGATCTATTACCTTTTGATACAAATCTGTTACCATTTTCCAAGAAAATCTATTACGAAAAAATCAGACCCAGGAACAACACACTGTGACAACACTGAATGTAAAGTTTTGTTTCTGACAATTGACAATTTGCTTGGAATGTGATGATGCATTTCTCAAACATTGAGCTGAATGATATGGTTCTTATGTCGGGTCGTTATTGTGCGGGGCCCATGAGACTCCTCTAAGGACACGAAATTGTAGCGATGCTAGGAGGTGGAAGGAAGGGTCTAAAGGATTTTTCAGTATAATAACTTCCAACCGTGAGGTGTTAAGTTATACGCTATTCGAGCTTATGTGTAGAAATCTTGGGTGAGTCCATTTTGAAGTTTTTGTATTATCTTTCTGAAATTCAAGACCAAGGTTAACTTCTTCTCCATGTACATTTTCTCGATTACACATTTTATTTAATCTCCCAATTTTCATGTAGAGTGGCAACGTCGCTTCGTTCATCACGGTCGACTGCGGATCGCAAACGATAGTTGTGACAGAAGTAGAAATCTGGGCGGAAAAAGGGTATTTTGCCCCAAATCTATTTTGATCCTAATAATATTTTTAATAGTGCTATTCGGTAGTATACCTCAGACTTTCTTAGTGTTTAAAATATATGCACTTATTTTAAAATCAGCCTGTATAATATATAATCGAATCAAATGAAATTTGTTGCAGTTTCTTCTCAGAATAACAGGACTCTCATATCGTTTCTTCCATTGCCGATGCAGGTATCTTCATGATCACCGATGACGACGGAAATTTGAATTTGAAATTGCCTTTACTATGAGTACCTGATGGATAAACGACAGGAAGCTCTGCTGGAATTGACATAAACTTTGTTGAAATCATTAGATCCCAAGTTTGAAATAAATTATCGGATGACGAAAATCAACGTCAATTACTGGATGTGAAGTGAATTGCGGAAATGGAGAAAGTACACCCATATGAATGGAAGATCTATGTATGGACTTCGAGTACGGAGAATAATCAATGTTTCTGTATAACGCAAAATTCATGAAAATTATTATATACAGGTACCTACAGTAATATTTATATGCATGTAAATGAGTTGACGATGAACAATCGATTCACAATTTGTACTATCATTCGATAGACCCTGATTTAGAGAACCACAACCAGACCCATCATGATGTAACAAAGCCACTGAGGTATTCATATTGGAAAAATGTGTGCTATAGTAGTGAAAAAACTAATTGTATGCACTTCAGGTATATTTAAGGTTACCTCCATTCCCTATTTTAGGGGAAATAGTGATACTTTGAATCCCTAGGGATTCGAAGTTACTTCTGATCCTTAGGGATTCAAAGTACCACCATTTTCCAGAAATCTGGATCACCATAGTTACTGAGGTAGTTGATATGGTAACAATCAGCCCCTTTGATGACGTTTTAGAAATAGAGTACCTACCGTTCAGTGGCGTCTCATTTTTTTCGTTATTTTCAGTGTTTTACCCTTCCTTAATTGCATGAAGTAGTATATACACGTCAGGACTGAAGTATTTTTGAATCCTTTGACAAATTATATTCCTCCCGTTGGTCGGGCTATGCAATTTTTGTCTAGGGAATCGAAATTCCTCTTTATTCCCTATGTGTATAATGAACTATATGAATGGCAGACATACTCACCCAACTTTCTCATTACTCTCTGGAATTAATATACTTCGGCTCAGTGAAAAGTCTAGTTTACATTGGTATCATTATCTGCAGTTAAAACTATACCGTACTTAGTGGATACAGAAAGGCGTCACGTAGCTCCAATTCTCAAAATCATTTCAAGCAAAAAACCTTATTAGAAGAGGTCCATGGCAAGTCAAAGTGTAGTGGTGTAGTTCATAGATGAAAACCCAAAGTAATCTCCACAACTTCTATCAGAATGATCAAAGTTCGTAACCAGAAAGTATTATAGTTCTAGAAAAGTCGGTATTGATATACATGTAACAATAACCAAGTATTTACATGGGAGTAGATGAACAAATATTGAAGTTAATTACTGGGCAAAATGGGAAATATGGTCTATGATATGGAAAACAATCGAAATTTGAAGTAGTGAAGAAAAAGTGGGAAGTTAACTGCCTCTGCGAAATGATGTAGCTGTCTTGAAAAATTTTTCTAACGTCTGTCATGTCAAGTTTGTTATATAACCTTCAGTTTCACGTACATGTGATTCTTTTGATTCAACAGGTCAATATTGATATCCACAAAATGAGATCTTGAAAATATGGATATATCTTAAAGTAGTAGAAAAACTCCCACTTTGAGATATATCAAGGACTTCTCTACAAATTGATGATGATACGTGAATGAACATGTTCATGAACGTTGTCTGATATTATAATTGTAATGATATGCTGACTAAAATATAACCAAATTGTCAATTTCACTCAACATTGCAATTCACATTGATCACGAACATCCCAACTATTCTTGAATCTAGAATGTATGCGCATCCTGGGAATACTTACATGAACGAAACTGATCTAATTGATGCTGTATCCACATCTTCCTCTATCGTTCAGAACTCGAAACATTTCCGTTTTTTATGACTGCATTTGTATTCATTGAACACTCTCATTTCAAACTTGGAATTTTCATTATTTCGAAACTCCACAATTGGTGTTTTCAGAGATTAAATTCCATACTCGTGACAATAATTATCTCTTTGTGTATATTTGTCCAAATGGGCCAGTATTAAAATATCTTCGTGATAATTTTTGTTCGAAATCCAAATTTGGTTGGGCGTACTAATAAAAATATATTTTCAAGCAGTTTATCATGAGAAGAATCAAGAGCAATGTCAAAGTGCATTCCAGAAGTGCATCACCTTGATGATAAAGATAAAATCGAAACATTTTTCTTTTCAAGGCAAGTATTGTTGAAAATATCTCTGGTTTACATTCAGAACAGTTAACACCATTTCATCGCATTTATCAGTTATTCAATCATCTTGATATGGTTTCATCATTAAGAAATACATTTCGGTTGAACTTCACAGGATCATTTTTGGAGCCACATCAAGATCAGTTGCAGAGGAAGAAATGCTCATAAAAAAATTATGGTCATGTGGAGATGAATCTCGATAGCATGCATATAGTAAGTTACCCGTGTATTTACATTACGTTAGCCCAGTTGTACCATTCACAAGTTCACGTCATAACACAAAATACTCGCAATGATATTTACTCTTTGAAAATACGATTCTGAACTAGGTGATATTTCATATGAGTTTTTCAATACTAAATTCGATTGAGATGAATGTGAGGTGAGTGGATCTGTATGATTTCATCTTATTTTATTCATAGGTTATTGTTCTATTTTTTGATATTGTAATGAAGTGTGTTGACCAGCTTCATCACTAAACTGGTTTTGAGTGACCTGAGACTGATTCTACTTGAATTTCGCTTGTTCGGAAGTGCGAAACCTGAAAACCTGAGAGAGCTAAGTAATTCATTGATTCCCGACTTTCCAAAGCTTTTCCTGGTGGTAAATTCTGAACAACATCATTACAACCCTGAGGACTTCAATATGTTTAAACCCTTTGCTTATGATATGAAGTTTGGATGAATTATTTATCA